CACTCTCTCCTGACCCTCCCTGCTCAATAAACTTTTCCTGCAGCCAAATCGTCTCTCTTTCCATGTTTCTCCAAAGCCAAAAAGACCCAGGGGTTGTGGTGTTCTTCAGATGAGGGAGTCCGGGAACTTCTTCCCTGCACATTTTTTGTTAATGGCAAAGTATTCCTCATAACCTAAAAAATGACTATGATAGTAACACCAGGGGTTGCTGGGATTTTCTGAGCTCTGAGGAATTGGAACACCATGTAATGAAATTATATATAAATTATATATGTTATATATATTGTAAGACAGCTGTGGCTTTCCCACCTCTCTCCCCCCACTGCATGTTAGACATGAATGATTATTTCATATTGTACTTCAAGAGATGTGACAAAGGGAAAATATTCCCTATCAAAAAAAGCATATTGCTCATTGCCAATGCTTATGTCTGATTAACTCATCAGTAATTAGCATGGTATGAATGAAATGCAGCTCTGCCTGGTACTGACAATTTATGCACAGGCAAATTTCTGCCAGAGAAGAGGAAGAGAAAGAACATTGCCAAACACAAATTATGATGCACCAAATATTTAATGAGCGAGAAGTGGCATTATAAAAAAATGTACAGCATAAGAAAGCAGTCGGGTTTCTATGGATAAAATTAATTATAAAATTAATTCTCCATTTCCAGGCAGCGCTTTACAGCTGGACACCCAGCTCCTACGTGCAACAACCAAAATTGCATTTTTCGCCTCCCTGACAACACAGAAAGGCCTCAAACCAGCAGTGCCAAGCTCCCGCAGTGCCAGTAGCTCAGGGGGAAGCTGAGGGGGGTCAGCAAGCCGTGGTCACCAACTCAGTCCTGCAGCCGGGTCGTGATTCTCGTCTCCGGGCGGTTCCTCCGGGGCCGCTCCCGAGGCCTCCTCAGGGCCCGCAGCGGTTGGAGCGGCGATAGGACCTCCCGTAGAGACCCCCCAGCCCCGAATAACCGAGGCCTCCCAGCCCCGAGGAGCCCCCGGAGTTGATGGGAACCCCCCCGGCGCTCAGAGCGTCTCCCACGGCGGCCGAGGCCGAGGAGCCCACGGCCGTGTTCTGGGGGAAGGAGCTCAGGATGGGCCCGGGCAGGGTCACCACCACGGGCGAGGGCTGGATGACGTACGTGGAGTCCTGGCACTGCCTCACGCAGGGCTCGTTGCAGCTGTTGGCCAGCGGGGTGGGGCCGCAGGAGCCGGGGGGACACAGGTCATAGCAGGACATGGCTGGGGTGTCACCGGGGCTGCAGCACAGCAAGGGAGAGAACACAAGGAGGAATTTGTGGTTAGAGCCGTGTAGTTAAGCTGCTGACGTGAGGGAGAGTGAAAGAGGACGTGGAGAAGGGAATAATGGGTTAGTCTTGGATTGAAAGGAGGCTTCATTGAAGGTCAGACTCCTGCACATGACACAGAACAGCTCGAGGGGCAGCTCTGCCTCCCCTGAGCAGCCTTTGACAGCTCATTCCCACCATGCTCCTCCAGGATCCTCCAGCCCTGGGTGGGCAAGTGGGGGACAGGGCTTATGATCTGTCAGAAAAGGGAGGGGGAAACTCTGCCCCAAAATAGAGAGAAAAATTGAGATTTCCTCAGCGAGCAAAAGTGAGGAGTACAAACTGCCCTGTGAGGGTGGGGAGGCCCTGGCACTGGGTGCCCAGGAAATATTCCAGACCCACCTGGACACGCTCCTGTGTTACCTGCTCTGGGTGACCCTGCCCTGGACTGGAGGGTCTCCAGAGGTCCCTTCCAACCCCAGCTACTCTGGGGTTCTGTCCTGAGAGCCAAAATCTCTGCACAGATTCACCACATCCACCTCCAATTCCTGAGCAATAACAGGCAGAGATTGGAACGTTTTGGAACTGAATTATTTGGTGACATAAACAAAAAATGAGGCTGAAATCCTGCATCCAACCACCTCCACCTTCACGGAACAACAACCTTCTCCCGGAAAAAAAAGCTGCTTGGTGTTCCCCCCCACACAGAGCTACAAAGAGGGTGTAAAAATAAAATACAATGAAGGCAACTTTAAAAAATAGGAAACAAATCAAGACTTACCCTTTCTACCGAGGAGAATAAAGCAGAAGTGGATGAAGCTCCTCTGACTGTGCTGCCTTTTATACTCCGGCCCAGAGAGCCTGAGGATCTAAGGCATAATTTGTGCCATTTACCAGCCAATTACCAAAGACTTCTCAGATGCAAAATCCTCCTGGCTGGTGATTTACTTTTTCCTCACTGTTTGGATTTCCTGCCTTGGTTTAATTTCCTCCCTGTAATGTTTGCATTCCACTCGAGAGGTTTCTTTTATCTTCAGATCTTGGGAGCTCAGTTCATTCCTGCTCAGATGAACTGATTCATCTGAGCTACTGAAGAAATTATTTTGCATCCCAAGGACCGATGGCACAGATGAATAAATCTGCTAGGAAAGATGGATGGGAACTTCCCTGTGAAATCCCCCTTCCCCCTTCATGGGGAGCAGAAGTTTTTGACACATTTCACTCTGAGAAGGCCAGAAATTCCTATTTCTGCCTCAGAATTGGACTGTGGGTTTGCCAAATTCCCCTCAAACAGCCAGAGAGCCACACAGATATAGGAAATAAAATTGTTACACAAAGCACTTAGAGCTGATTAGACTTCACCAGTCTCAAAGGTACTGGGAAATAGACTATTTAAAGGGAACATATTTTATTTTCTTAACTCAGGAGACAGGATGAAAGAGTATCAGCAGCATGTGATCTACTCATTTAATATTTAACCACTTCCATGAAGGAATTTGAGACACAGCTCTTCAATTTGGGAACTGAGTGTCCAAGTCCTTCATCTGACAGTCTGCAGTTTAACTTCCTACATCAAACCCCAGGAAAACAATCCAGGTCAGATGGGGGATGCCTGTGAATTTTAGGCTGGTCAGAGACACTCAAAGTCTTGCACAGGCTCAGCTTTGGGGTCATTAAAGACGCCAAACAGTTTTACATTTGCCATTAAATTATTACTTTCCCCTACTGGGCCTTGCACTATTATGCAAAGTTGTTCCCCCAATCATCAGCAGTCACTCACAGAAGTTTGTAATGTTCTTTTTGTCCCTTTGAAAGCGAATTCTGTCGCTTTCCCTTTGCATGTCTCCCAGAGCATCGCAAGGTGCAACGATCCCATTTCCTTTTCAAAGGCAATTTCGAGATTCAAAAGTAATTGCAGGCAATGCCCAAGCAGACTCGAGGGCAGGGATCAGTATTCCAAGCTCTCCTCATGTTTAAATCACCGAGGCAGAGACATGCAAAGCAACCCCTGAACTGGGAGTATCTCCCTGAACATCTCCTGGGAAATAAGTACTGGTTGTGCACTTTTGAAGAACAAAAGTCTTCCAAGTTCCCAAACCCTCAGACATGCAGATGGGGAGTTATCAGCCAGTGGGCAGGATGGGACACCCTTTGAACATGACCAGCTTTGAAATGGGTGACCAAGATCACTCAGGAATGTCACAGACTTCCCCAGAAACTCGAGTCCCTCCATTTTATACCCGAGATGCAAAGCAGTGTTTGCACAAAGTCACCTGTCAAAAAACCCAGTTCCACTCCTGAGTCACTGGGTATCCCCAAAAGTGATGATCCCCATCTCTGACATGGACTGAAGTTCTCCTGTCCTGGGGATCTCCCAGAGTTGTCCCAGTGCTCTTACACACAGACAGCCACTGTGGCACCCAAATGGGGAAAAAAACATCCTGGGCTGATCCCCCAGTGTGGGCAGGGGGGGACTGTGCCCAGCTGAGACCCCCCAGCAGAGCTGGGGAACAGCCCAGGGAGCACCTGGAGCTGCTGGAGCCACTCCAGAGGAGCTGAGCAGAGGGATGGAGCAGCTCTGCTGGGAGGAAAGGCTGGGAAAATTGGGATTGTTCAGCCTGGAGAAGAGAAGCTTTGGGTTGACCTGACTGTGGCCTTCCAGGACCTGAAGGGGCTCCAAGGAATGTGGGGAGAGACTTTGGACAAGGGCCTGGAGTGGCAGGACAAGGGGGATGGTTCAGAGTGACAGAGGGAAGGGTTAGATGGATATTGGGAAGAAATCCTTCCCTGTGAGGGTGGGGAGGCCCTGGCACAGGTTGCCCAGAGAAACTGTGGCTGCCCCTGGATCCCTGGAAGTGTCCAAGGCCAGGCTGGAGAAAACTGGGAGAGTAGAAGGTGTCCCTGCCCATGGCAGGGGGTGAAATGAGATGATTTTTAAGGTCCCTTCCACTCAAACCATTCTCTGACATTCCTTAATAACAATCTCTTGATATGATGAAGTTGTGGCTTTGAAAACCAACTCATCAAAAGGGACAAAGATGATAAAAGGAGTCATAAGTCCATTTCTGAAGGTAGTTGTGTGTCCAGCTAGTCTGGCTGGCTCAGTCCTCTCATCCCAGGAGCTGAAAGCTTTGGGATATTGCTCACTGGAATATTAGACAGGTCAGTGATCCCAAATCTCACGGTCACTTATCAGGGATGGAACTGCACACTCAGGACTCCAATTGAAGCTCCTGCTGTGACAGCAGGTGGTGCTCCCAAGTTGTGACCAAAGTGCCAAAGAGCAGACAAAATTCCTAAGCAAATTGGATTTTGACTCCTGGCCATTTTGGAAGGTGGAGTCAGCAGAATGGAGTCAGGAATATTCAGGAGATGCAAAGCAGAGAGATGAAAGGGGCCCCGTGGATGGTGGTTTCCCTCCATGGCCAGGAGAAGTCCAGGCAATCAACACAAACAGCAAACAACCCAATTTCACTCCTGGGAGCCCAAATGCAAATCAGAGCCACAATTCAGGCAGGGGCTGGTTGGTGAATGTGCAGGGATGGCTCAGATCCCCCAGGCAGCCTGAGGGAGCTGTAAAAGCCTCTTCCCTCCTCCCTGTGCACGCAGCAGACACTGCACTTCTGCCTCCAGAGTCTGGTGGGTTGTAATTAGATTGCATTTTTTATGTGATTATATTTTGCAGTTCTATCCCCCTGCAGAATTTGGAATGGAAATACCTTTACACTGACAGGAGTAGAAAATACTTCAGGGTCCTGCAAAAACAGCTCCTGTCACTTCTTTTCCATGGGACCAACTTTTTTCAGCTCTTTGAGAGAAACTCTCCCCTGGGAGGGTGGGGAGGTCCCAGCACAGGCTGCCCAGAGGAGCTGTGGCTGCCCCAGCCCTGGGAGTGTCCAAGGCCAGGTTGGAATAACCTGGGATAGTGGAAGGTGTCCCTGCCATGGACTTTACGTGGCCTTTCCAATCCTTTCCAGCCCAAACCATCCCATGATTCAGGGATGGATATTGGCAGATGCAAGTTGATAAAACAAGAGAAAGAAGACAGTGACAGACCTTTGTTCAGAGCACGTGGATCAAACCAGGCCCTGTTTTATGCTGCTTTGGGACTGTGCTCTTTACGGGTTGCTACACCAAATTTTAACCTAAAAAGGCAGTCTGGGACAGCACTGAAGGGGGGAAATGGTGCTTGAGGATTGTCTTTGCTTTTCATTTTGAGGTGAGCTGCAAATCAGACCCTTCTGACACAATATCTGAATGAAACATCCCAGCTTTGGGTGGGACCTGCATTCACAGGGGTTACCTCTGGGAAGAGGTTTGGTTCCACTGATGAGAAGAGAATTGCAAGAGCAGAAAAATGCACTTGGTCATGAGAAATATCCACCTGAATGCATTAAAGACACTTTCACTGCAGTGCCTTACTCAGAACTCTTTGCAGCCATTGACGTCCTTGGAATTCATCACCTTTGATCAAGCAATAACTTCAGTTGAGATGGCAAAAAATATATTACACATTTAATTCAGACCAACCTTGTCCTGTATTAGAACATCAAACTTTCCATTTGCTTCTGTTGTTTATTAAGAAAACCTGCTCCTTAAAATTATTAATTCTTTCATGGTCTTCCTTCACCTCCTTTAATTTAGTTCCACTAATAAGTGCAGTCAATGCAACTTCATCAACAGCTTTCCCTGGCTTTAATTACAGCTCAGCATCAGTCTGGACAGACACAGACAAAGACTCCAAGCAAGACATTTTATAGAGCTCAGGCTGGAGTTGTTTGGGCTGACAGGACAGTGAGTCACCCAGAGCCTTCAGGTGAAGCTTTTCCAAACCTTCTTCCTTCAGGGACCAAAGCTCCCAGTCTCCAAACCTTTATTCCAGCACAGTCAGGCTGGAACAAAGCAATGCCTGATAAAGCTCAGCTTTGCCAGGCACAGCAAATAGGAGACAGGTTATAAAGACACACTGAAAAAGGGTTAGAACTTAAAAATCTTCCAGATTTAGTCCTTTAATCTCTTTCTCCCAGACGTGCTTCCCAGGCCAGCAAATTCCCAAGGCCAATTCCCTTGTGAGAACACTGCACATCCCTCTCCTCTTCCCCTCCCAGACTTACCAGGGTCTGAGCTCAGCTGCCAAAAGGTGCTGCACCCACCAAAAAGCTCAGGCTGAACTCAGAAGGATCCCCAGCCCTCCCACCACCCTTTCCCTGACCAACTTCTCTTCCTGCTTTTAAAGGGATCTTCCCAAGCATCTCATCTTTAGAAATCACCTGTTTCTGTCTCAACCCATTGCAGGTGAAGGCCAACTCTTTGATAAGGAGTCTCAGACTTGAATTAAAATGTACAGACAAAAGAAAAATCTTCTTCCACGACTGAAATCTGACTCTTTGTGTTTTGGCAATGGGCATGAGGGGCTGGGGAAGAAGGAAGGACAGACAGACTCAGAGTAGGATGCAGCACAAATTTAATGAGGCTGGGGAATGGAATATAAAGGTAAGGAACACTTTTCTATGGTCCAGTGAGGACAGAACCCACTCATTCATCCCTCTCACAGTGACACACTCAGCAACCTGAAATCTTCCTTCTTCATTGGTGAACTGCACTAAATCAGCCATGCAGGACAATTCCTAACAATTCCGTGTTTTCCCTGTTATCAAACACAGACACAAAAGCAGGACAAGACATTTGATCAGAAATACCAAGTAAAGCACAACAAAAGACAAGCGAAGGCCTGGTTGGAGGAGGTGCAAAGCTCCCACAGCTCCAGCGGCTCCGGGGGAAGTCGTGGGTGTCCAACATCACGTCTGCAAACCGTGGCCGTGAGCTCAGGCCGGGGTCAGGTCGTGCTTTAGAATTCCTGGTGATTCCTTCCCGCCTTTTCCCTCCTGGAGAGCGTTACCAGGGCCCGTAGAAGCCCCCGCGGAAGGTGCTGGAGCGCCGGGAGGGCCGGTTGTAGCCACCGCCCAGCCCGGGGTAGCCAAAGGCCCCCAGTCCCAGGGAGCCCCCGGAGTTGATGGGAACCCCCCCGGCGCTCAGGGCGCTGCCCACGGCGGCCGAGGCCGAGGAGCCCACGGTGGTGTTCTGGGGGAAGGAGCTCAGGATGGGCCCGGGCAGGGTCACCACCACGGGCGAGGGCTGGATGAGCACGGTGGAGTCCTGGCACTGCCTCACGCAGGGCTCGCTGCAGCTGTTGGCCAGCGGGGTGGGGCCGCAGGAGCCGGGGGGACACAGGTCATAGCAGGACATGGCTGAGGGTGCAGGACCTGAAACACAGGGCAGAGGTGAGCTGTGCTGCTGAAACACAGGGCAGAGCTGAGTTGTGCTGCTGAAACACAGGGCAGAGCTGAGTTGTGCTGCTCCTGCACTGTGACCAGAACAGGGATCCCTCCAGGAGCTGAGTGAGGAGCAGTTTGAGGAGGAACCCAAGTTCTTAATGGGCACCATAACATAGGAAAGAGATGGAGCCCTTACAGATCATCCAAACAGAGGGAAAAGAGATGGGGAAGGCTTTGATTTGAAGCTGTGTGAGGGCACTGAGGGCACTGGGTGTGTTCAGCTGGAGCAGAGGAGACTGAGGGGAGACCTCACTGCAGTTCCAAGTGCCTGGGCAGGGGCAGAGGAGGGGCAGGGACTGAGCTCTGCTCTGTGTGAGCAGGGACAGGACCCAGGGAAGGGCTGGAGCTGTGTCAGGGCAGGGTCAGGTTGGATCTCAGAAAAAGGTTCTTCCCCCAGAGGGTGGTTGGGCACTGCCCAGGCTCCCCAGGGCAGTGGGCACAGCCCCAAGGCTGCCAGAGCTCCAGGAGGGTTTGGATGATCCTCTGGGGCACAGGGTGTGACTCCTGGGGATGGTCCTGTGCAGGACCAGGAGCTGGACTCGATGGTCTTTGTGGGTCCCTTCCAGCTCAGCACATTCTGGGATTCTGTTCTGCTGATCTGCTGAACCCTCCACACTTGGTCTGTGTGGAACTTGGTCACACCACCCTGAACACACCCAAGAACTCATGAGAGATATTTCATGTGAACCTGCAGGACCTGAAAACTTGTTTGGGTCCCAAATTTGATAAACAGCCCTAAATGGTGAATGTGGCTCATTGGCATATTAATGATTATTATGACTCACCACCAACATATGAAATAGAAAAATGTACTTTTTTAATATCAAAACCCCTTCCTCCCTCAGAGAAAAAAAAAGCTGAATTTGCCACAAAATGAGTGAGGAAAAGCTACAAAACCATCAAGGCAATAGTTTGCTGTATAAAGAGAGAAAAAATGGCTTCAGACTTACCTTGTTCACAGCAAAGAAGGCAAGAGAAATGTCTGGTAGAGCCTGGAGTTGCTCAGGTTTTTATACTGAGCCTTAAGTTGCCCAACAACTTGGGCCACTCTTTGTGCATGAAGTGATTTATGAGCCACTACTGATTACATGTTTTTTTGCCTCAGTATTTGTGTTTATTACTCCTTCACTTCCTTATCTTGTGGCATGTATATCTGACCACAAGATTGTTTCATCTTGAAATATTCTGGGCCAGCCTAATTCCTGGGAACAGTGGAATGATTAATTCAGAAGGATTTGTTCTGCCTTCAAAACCCTCTTGGGTCTGCTTGGGGTCATTAGAGGAGATTAAGCATCATTTGCATAATGCAGTCCCTGGTCCCCTCCTCTGCCAGGTAAATCCCGGGGGAAAACATCAATTGCTGCTTTTGGAAGCGAATCCATGGGTTTTGGGCCAGTCCTTCCTTGGACACCTCCAGGGCTGGGCACTCCCCACCTCCCTGGGCAGCCCCTGCCAAGGCCTCACCAGCAAGAAATTCCTCCTTTGAAGGAAAGGAAAAGAGAGCCAGAATTTTACAGGCAGATTGCCAAGAACACACACAGTTTTCACCCAGATACAGCCCCCAAAACCTTTCCTGGGTCTCTAATCCTGGGCCTGATCTCTTTGGAGTTCTTCAGGGGAAAAAAATCCACTTTTATTCTCATCTCAGAGCTCAAATATCAGCAGCTGTAGAAGGGTTGCTTTGCTTGGTGAGATTTGTTCCCAAGGAGGAGTTTTGCAGCAGGTAAAGCTTTGCCAAACCCAGCTGTGGAGGCAGAAGTTCCAGCCAAGAATCCTTCCCTTCCTAGAGAGTTTTTCCACCCCTGGAGGTGTCCAAGGAAGGACTGGACATGGCACTCAGTGCTCTGGGCTGGGGGACAAGGTGGGGATGGAGCAGAGGGTGGATTTGAAGATCTTAGAGGTCTTTTCCAAATAATCCTTTTCTAAATAATCCTTATTTTATTGCAACACCCATTTCCCCAGCAGTGTCTGGCTCTGATGTGTCAAAGACCAGTGGACCCAGTTGGAGAATTGCCAAAAGTCTATAAAGTGTCCCTTGGAGCTGATTTTTCTGTGACTTTCCAGCAGCACAAAGAACTGGAGTCTCTTCTCCAAGAGGGACTTGCAGGATAAATGGTGAAGGGGAAAAATCCCCGAGCAGTTCCAGACACAGGGATCAGTCCTGGGGATTTGCTCTCCGAGACATGCAAATGAGCCCCAAATTAGGGCTGTCTTTGGGAAGGTCCCCTGGGAACAGAAACTCGTTTGGCTTGGTCAGAGCTTCCTGAGAACTTCAAAGTTTATCAGAAGCTTTATTAAAGAGCCAGAATGCAAAGTGTGACATTAAGTGCAAATTTAAGATACGTGACCCACATTTGAATTCCCATATCACTTGTTTAATGACATGTCATTAGGATTTGGGAGAGCAGGGCAGTAATTGGGCTGTAAAATTTATGTTATTGTTTCTGGCTGCAGGAATTACAGCTGGCTTATTTTATTTTAAATTCAGTGTAAAAAGCTCAAGGTTTGGTTTAAACCATCTCATCATTCAAGGGGATTCACAAAGAAACTTCCCTGGCTGTTGTTAGCTTCCCCAGCCCTGTCCATTCCTCAGCACTTCTCCATATTCTGAGGGATTAGCAGCCTGTCTCAAAAATAATTTCCTCCCTAGCAGCTATTTGAGGAATTAATTTGCATAACAGCATCCACAGTTTATTGTCATCAATTTTTTTTTATTCTTCCTTCATCCAGGGTTTGCTTGGGAAACACAAAACACCTTTAAAATCTGACTGTGAGTTTAAAAAAAAAAATAAAAAAATCCAGCAACAACATTTTCAGAGATTTCCTCAACCTTCCTTGAGAATGATTACAATAAACATTGTCCCAACTCCAGCCACTGCATTGTACAGTCAGAATGGCTTTAATGGCCTCAGCTTTGAGAGGAATTAAAGTGAGTGAATTAGAAGTTCACAGACTTTTATAATCAAGGACAGACCTGTGTATTCAGATTATAATTGAACCTTCTTGCATAATGTGAGAACATCCTCCTGAGACACCTGAGAGTGACTAAACTTCTGAAAAAGAAGAAGATTCTTCATCAAAATTGCAGTGGGGTTTTACTCACAGTGATCCCTGTGGGAAGTCTCCAGGCACAAAAGTGACCCCAAAATCCCCGTGTGGAGGAGCTTCCCTGGCAGGAGTGTCCCCTGCAGTTCGTTCTGAATCGTAATTAATTAGCTCATTACAAAGAATTAGGTGTCCCTGTGATCCCAGAGGGTTCCTGGTGCAGGCAGAGCCTGTGATTTGCTCTTCCCCACTTGTGCTGCTCAAATAACTCCCCCCAGGGCAAAGGTGTTCCAGCGCAGGCATTTGTGTCCTCCCCGAGGTACCTGAAAGGAGCTCGTCTCATTGCTGATGTAATTCAAATGCTGCTGTAAAGAACTGTAAAATCACTCAAGTTTGAGGTTTGGTTTGGCATCTTAGTTTATAATTTCCCTTTTTTGTCAAAAAATAAACGTGGCTCACTCCTGGATGAACACCTGGAGTGTTCCTGTGAAGAACCAGGAGTGGTGTGGTCATTGTGCTGGAATTCTGCTGGGAACAGAGCTGGAAAACAACACCAAAAATTCATTTCTGCTCGAGGGAAGAAGTTATTTAGTCACCAGAACCTCTGCAAAACAACACACCCAAAACGGGCAGGTTTTCTTTATTTCTCAAACCCGTTTGAGGGATTTTTTTTTTTTGAAATGCAGATTTTTAATTATGTTTCAAATTGGGAGAGTGCAATTAGTGCTGGGTGTGAGATCCACCTCACTGGGAGAGCAATGTCTTGGTGCCACGGAGGCTGAGGAATGTGGGATTTATTCCATCCCCTCGGAGCAGGGCTGTGCCTGCAACAACTGGGAGAAACCCTCTGCACAGGTCATTTCTTCCTGCCAGGTGCTCCAGGAGATATCAACTCACCTGCATTCGGCTACAGTTGTGTCCCAGGTTCCTGATTTAAATTTACTCCCATTGGTCATTTAGGAAGGGCCAGATCAGCTCCTTGTTTGGAGCTCCAGACCCAGGACTGACACACGTCCCTCCCTCACTTTTCCAGCCCAGGAGGAAGAGAAAGGATTTCATGCTCAGAATAAACTTCAGTGAAAATTCTGCAAAAAGCGAGATTTTTGCTAAAAGATTGCAAAGTTTTTCAAATAAACAGCAAGAGACTTGGGTTGTGATGCAACATAACTTTAATGAGAGCAAAAAAAAGCAGAATAAAAAAGCACAAAGTGTAAGTTGACATTTCTAGGATTCAAGACAAGAGCTAATATGGCTTTTCATCCTGGGTTTGTTTTCTCGGTGCTGCCCTGAACTGGGACAAAAAAAAGCCCCATTTTTACAGCAGCAGAAACAACCAAAATATTTCATCAGAAACACGAAGGATCAGAGAATAAGACAAGCAAAGGCCTGACGTGAGGAGATGCAAAGCTCCCACCACCCCTAAATTCAGCTGGGGCCGGGGGTGTTCAGCATCACGTCCGGGCACCGTGGCCGGGTCGTGCTCCAGAATTCCTGGGGGTCGTTCCTGCTTCTCCCCCTGCCTTAGCAGGGCTCCCCAAAGCCACTCCTGGAGGTGTTGGGGCGCCGGGAGGGCCGGGTGGACCCCCAGGGCCCCCATCCCGAGGAGCCCCCCGAGGAGACGGGAACCCCCTCGGAGCTGAGGGAGCTGCCCAGGGCGGCCGAGGCCGAGGAGCCCACGGCCGTGTTCTGGGGGAAGGAGCTCAGGATGGGCCCGGGCAGGGTCACCACCACGGCCGGGGGCTGGATGAGGTACGTGGAGTCCTGGCACTGCCTCACGCAGGGCTCATTGCAGCTGTTGGCCAGCGGGGTGGGGCCGCAGGGGCTGGGGCAGCACAGCTCGTAGGAGGACATATTCCTGGGGCAGAGACAGGGCTGGAATACAGGCAAGAAAGTTAAACCCTTTAAAACCTGCAGTGAGTCCATAGAAGTCACCTAAGAGGGTAAGAGATGTCCAGGCACCTACAGGAGGTGGCTGGGGAGGTCACACCTCTGTCACACCACCTGTCACAGTAAAAATCACGGGTGGAACTGGTGTTTTACACTAAATTTTTTACATTTGAGAGGTTTCTCTTATTTTCTGTGAGGCCTCTGAACTGTGGTGCCAGCCACGGAAAGTTTGTCCAAGCCCAACCAGCAAAGGGGTTTCCCAGCCTTTGGCCGGGTCCCTCTGCAGAAGCCAACCAGGTTCGTGGCCATCAGCTCCCCCAGTGGTCCTAAAAATCCTCTAAAATGGAGCATAAATCTGCTTGTTTTGAGAGATAACACTGCCAGAATCCTCCAAGTCCTGTCTCCTCATGCTCTGCTCCACAAGTAAATAAACCCTTTCTTTTCGGTACAAAGTTTCCAATTTCCCCTGGAGGCAAAACAACGAAACCAGCAATATTTACGAAGAACCGAGAACAACCAACAACAAAAAAAATAAAATAAAACAAAAGCAGCCATCAAAGTGGCAGTTTAGCATTTAAAAGGGGCTCTGGGAAGGTTCAGACTTACCTGTTCACCCGGGAGAATAAGGCAAGAGAAGAGGATGGAAGGGGCTTGTGTTCTATAGGCTTTTATAGCACGGTCCTGCTGCCTGCAGACCAGAGATGTTTATTATGCATGAGATCCCTTAATGGACCATGATTTGCATGCAAACCCCCCCAAACCCATCGACTCTTGTTGTTGTTTGTTCCCAAATCTCTCTTGGTGTTGTTCTGCTTTCCCCCTCCCCCTGTGACATCCCCACCCCTTTCATCTTCATCCCTGGGCACCCACTAAATTGTTTGGGAAGCCTGTGGTGACTCCTGTGAATTAGGGCGGTAATTATGGTGCCTCCTGAGGCCAGTGGACATTTTAGGCTCCATTTCAGTCATTAAGACACTGCTTGAGGGCAGTGTGGGTGATGTTTAGTCCTTGTTCAAGACTTCGCTGCTGGAGGTGAACAATCAGCTCGGAGGTGACTGGGCTCAGCCCACAAACCAGGGCTCAGCTTTGCCACAGGACAAGATGCAGAGCAGATATTCCCCAATTTTGCCCTTCCCACACAAACAGGCAGCTGAGAAGAGCAGCACATTTCCATGAGTATTGCAAAGCCTGAAGAAAATTAAAACCAGTGAGAATTGCTGAGCAAGGACAGTAAAACACCTTCCTGCTTGGGCTGAGCCCGGTTTTATGAACCCAGCCCATCCAAACACTCATAAACCTGCAATTCTTTACCCAAACACACATTTTAATATCATTTCCATGCCAAAGTCACCATGAAATGCCAGGATGTGCAGCAATTATCACGACAAATTAAACATGAATGTGGACACTGAGGATGAACTTCAAATGTTGGGGTTTAGGGGCTCTGTCTGAGCCGAACGACAGCGTCAGGAGAAATTACCCCCAGCACTTCTTCATTCCATTTCTCAGGACAGGGTTTGCTGCCCAGCCAGCAGTGAGCAGCCCTGGCTGGAATCCAACCTGCTGGAATTCCCTACAGAGATGGAAAATATGCAGAGCCCAGGGATCAGGTGTCTCCTCTCAGCCCCTCAGCAGAGATAGGAATTAACTCCAGCTGCACAGAGGCTTTGAACAGAGCCTGGGCCGCAGAAGAACAAAGGACTTCAAAGTTCTCACCACTTTCTAACCACTTCTAACCCAAACATGCAAAGTTTTGGGCTCCCCGATGTTGGAGGGACCTGATGAGACCTCAGTGCTCCCATCACCAGGATAATGACTTAATCTCCAAGTATGTGGGTCAAGATCACTCAAAGGGCTTCACAAACGAATTCAGGTAGGCAACTTAAAAATCTTGAATTATTTTATTAAATGTTTTTATAATTTATCTAGAAAAATTTAAGCCAAATATTGATTTTTTTTTATAAAATCTTAAAATCTTCATCTTTTCTCTGCAAGAAAATTCTTCTCTCCTTTTTTTATAAAAGCTTTTTCTATAGAAGAAAGAGTCTTTTTCATGCTTTTCCTCAAAATCTCTACTATCTACAGCCTGTTTAGATATTTAAAAAAATTAATTCCTTCTAGTAGGTGAAATCATTCACCCAAAGAATTCAACTCCCTTTCATCTGAGATAACCAAGGAATGCTTCCTTTCCCTCACTCTTCCCTCTGGGCACAGAAACAGTTTGTCTCGGAGGGCAGATAATATTTAAAAAAAAAAAAAAGAAAGGCTCATTACCAGTCTGGAAATGTTTGCATTGATATTCTGCCAGTTTGGTAATTGGCACCCGGGGTTCACCCAAAAGCTTGGGAGCCTTTGGGTGCTCAGAGGGAGACACCAACCCCAGCTCATGGACCAGGGATGGAGCTTCACACTCAATTAAAGCCCTTTGTGTAAGGAGCTGGTGCTGCCACGCCAGGCTGGGGAGGCACCAAATTGCTCCAAGAGCTGACAAATTACTCCATGAATTGAAATTCGTGTCGTTGTGTTGACTTGGGAGTCGGGCTTGTGAGGGAACAAGGCATTCAAATGATCCTCAGGTCTTGGGGATGAAAGAAGCTTTGAGGAAGGGTTTTCATCTGGTGCCAGGGTGAGACTGGTACATAAACCAGGAGCAATTTCACTGCTGGCAACAGTTTAACTACTAGGGACAACTGAAGCTGCTGCAACGTAATTTATAGAACTTACAATAATTTATATTTTCAATAATTATTTAATAATTTATGTAAGTTATTAGAACGCCCCAAATCTTCACAACGTGAGAACCTCTTCAATTTTTTCCTCAAACTGACTCTTTGAGCAACTGCTGCAAATCTCATTTAAATCTCAGGTCCTTAATTTTAGCAGAACCAATTTACTTGCAGAGATTTACTGTTTGCAAAGAGCTTGTAGTGACAGGACAACAGGGAATGGCTTCAAAATGGCAGAGAGGAGGCTTTAGAAAAGAATCTTTACTGTGAGGGGAACCACAGCTTCCCTGGGCAACCTGTGCCAGGGCCTCCCCACCCTCCCAGGGAGGAATTCCTTCCCTATATCCAACCTAAATCTCTCCCCTTTCTGTGTGACCCCATCCCCTCTATCCTGTCACCCCAATTCCTGATGAACTTCCCTCTCCAGCTTCCCTGCAGCCTCTTCAGGTCCTGGAAGGGGCTCTGAGGTCTCTTCACCACCTTCTCTTCTCCAGCCCCAAATTTCTCAGCTCAGTGAGGGTCCACTCAGGGATAAATTTCACCCAGGAAAAGTTTCAGAAGAAAATAGGAGGGGAAGGGAAAAAAACACCAGAAGACTGGAGATGCCACAACAGCAACACTTTATTAAGACCAAGGAGTGGATTAAAATCCTGCAAAGCATCAGGGGTCAGTGTGGGAAGATCAGGGGTCAGTGTGGGAAGATCAGGGGTCAGTGTGGGAAGA